GGTAGAACTGAGTTTGTTAATTTTGCTCTATCCAAGCAAACCAGGAGAACTCTCCTTATTTTAAAAGAACATAGAAGTCCATGCATGTGGGTGGGTTTTTTAAGGGAGAAGGTTGTTTTTCTGGATTGTGAGAGACCATCCATGGAAAGATAAGGTCCCCTGGCAGCAGTCCCTGCTGGGTACACCCCCAAATGCTGGTACCTGTCTCCACACTACAGGAGTTTATCTGAAGGGTGCTGAGATGAACCAAGTAAGGCAACTGGGTGTGGCTTTTTGTTTTCTTTTTTTTAAAGAGGAGGCATAGAGCACACAGAATGAGGAGAAAAAGGTAGGAAAAGCAGCTCTGAGTCAAGCACTAAATGGATCTGAATTGGAAGAGATTCCAAAGCAGTGTTCTGCAGAGAACAGACACAGCCAGCACTGTTGGGTCCTTCTCCACAGACCCAGGGTGGAGCACACCCTCCTTCCATAGTCGTCACTTTTCCCTCAGTTGCAGCAGAACAAAACTGACTCAGTTCTTCAGTTTCACAACAGCTCGCTGAGCTTCCAGTAAATTAAGTGAAAATTTAACAATTTTCATCCTTTTGTTGTCTGGGAAAGTACAAGAGACCATGGAATAGCTTGTAAAACTGTTTAGTGACAGCTGCTTTTGTGGGGAGGCAAAACACTTTCTGAGATGAAAGCCAGGTTTTGCAGAGGTTTATCCATTCTCCTGCTCTGGGAGAACACAACCTACAGATTCTACACAATCTACAGGGCTGAAAGGGACAGGAGAAGCACAGGCAGGAGATCCACTACCAGCTGGCCCTTATACCCCTGGAGATGTGGTAACAGGTCAGTAAGTGAGCCCAGCCATCAGAACAGGGATTCTGAGACGATTCCATGGAAAGCAGGATGATCATATGATGCTGGGCTCACTTACATCCCAGCAGTGAGGCCCTCGGAGTGGTTTTGGCTGGTTTTGGTTTCTGCTGGAGCCAAGGCGCAGGAGACAGCCCAGCAGCACCTCGTGATGCCCACCACACTCTCCGGGTTCCAATCCCAGCTCTGCTGTGTTACATCACAGCTGGAGTAAAACCGGCCCCAGAGAGGAGAGGAGAGGCCAGAAGGAAAAGAAAAAAGGTTCGTTTGCATTCCGGTGGCTTTCCCAAAGGCCACCCGGTCCAGCTCTCCCCGTGACCACCGTGACCACCGAGGGCTCAGCCGTGCCAGGGCACCGGCCCCTGGGTGAAACCTCTCTGCTCCCAGCTCCATTCAGGCCTCATTCACCGCTCAGAAAAGATTCTTCCCCAGGCATTTTCTCAAATAAAATAAAATAAAATGTCAGTCTTTAAAAACACCCGAGGTTAACAAGCAGTTTGTCCTTTCACAGAGACAATGTGGGCATGTTCAAACCCGGACCCACGGCCCAAAGGTGCCTCTTTATCCTGTCAAACATCACCACAGCAGGGCTCCAGCTGCTGGGACATTTTCTGAGATGTTTCCTCATGGAACAGCTGGTCCACACAAAAAAACCACACGTGTGTTATGTAAAAATAACACCCTGCTGGCAATGCTGAGGGGCAGGGACACCCCAAGCAATGAAGTGATCCCAGAGGTACCACAGGATTTGGGAGCTCTCCCTCCACACTCCTTCCACAGTTCTGCAAATATCCCGGGAGTTCAGTCCATGTGAAAAGATGGGAATAGCAAAGTCCTGGTGTTTGGCTGCTGGAAGGTCCTTTGAAGTCTGTTCCCCCTCTCTGAATGAATCCTGTTGCTGCCCCAGCTCTCCCTGTTGCCCCAGGAGGTGGAATCGTGGTTTGCGAAACCACACACAATTTGGGCGGTTTCCACAATGCCCAAAAAAATGTAATTTTTTTTCTCCATTTGGAGATTTACGCTGAAATGAATTCTCCCTGTGCTGCTTTTTAGAGGAATATGTAACAAAGACTTCTTTTCAGCCAGTGCTTGGTCTTCCAAAAACGTTCCAGAGCTTTTTTCATGCCCAAAAGTAGCGGCCTCCAAATGCAATGCAGAGACAATGTGCAACCTCCAGCAGCATAAGGAAAAAATAAATCACTTAAAAACTAAAAAAGAACAAAGTATTTTTCTGTTAAGATTCTTTATTTGCAAATGTAACACCAAACCAAGGACATGGTGTTTTATCAATCTCCAGGGATTGCAAAGATTTCAATGAAAAATATACCAGTGAGCTGAAGAGCCAGGGGGAAACACCTAAACGTAAGAAAGTAGCCTCCTCTGTAAGAGTAAACAGAATTCTCTTATTTCTTCTTGTCCATTGACAAACTTTTTAAATTCAAGAACTAATGCGGGGTTAAAAACAGGAAAAAAATGGGATTTCTGCATTCATAGCAGGAAATGAAGAAGAAAGGCAAGACCAAAGTTCTACTATTTCTTAAGCACTTAAAAGGAACAGTAATGAGAAACAGCCAGTCCTAGGAAAAATCCTACTTTAATATAGAAAGTTTAATTTATTTATCAAAACATTCTTATTTTCTTCTCTCTTTTCAAACACTAAGCTTTTAATAGCTCTTTAATGTACATACTTTGGCTCTGACTCTTTCTCTTCTCCCCAGAGAAACCTTTTAAAGAGATCTCAATTTCCACTTAAATAGAAGCAATCAATAATGAAATACATCAGTAACATTAAAAAGTATTATTGTCCAAGACCAAACCAAGAAATCTTTCACAGCCATTTTATATTCTGTGCTTAAATGTGTACAGGTGACACCTTCCTTGCTATCAAAATTAAGTGCAAGTTGCAGTGAGTGGACACCAGGCAGCTTCTTTCAAAGTTTATTTAAAAGCCAACAAATGAGAATTAACCCAGGAAATAATTAGAAAGGAAAATTAATAAGGTGTCCTGCTTGCTGATTTCACTCATTGACACAAGTTTAACTTCAACACCTTTTGGCCAAGGCCAAGTGCAGGATCTGGGCACAGAGTCCATCCCAGTGGGGTTAATTCTGTGGGATTGGTAAGAACTTTCCCAGATGTATTTGTGACAAGCCCCCTTCCTGGGCAGCTCCTGCAGCAGGGGGAACACAGGAGGCACTTTTAGCTCAGGGTTCAACTCACAGCTACCACACACAGCCCTTCAAAAGCTCTGAGATCAGATCCTTCCCTGCCTCATTCCTCACCAGCAGCACACACAGCACATCCTGAGGAAAGCAGCCCTTCCACAGCAGCCACTGCTCCCTCCCCGAGCTGTCCCAGGGCAGCAGAGCCACTGCCAGCTGTCACTGCGAGCTCAGGGACAGCACAACGCTCACCCAGAGCCTGCCCTGCCCACAGAAACCTCCCACGGGCCCCCAGGAATGACCCGGCACAACCAGCACAGGGAGCCAGCTCCCTCAAACCCTGCCTGAAACCAGACACAGACTGTTCTACTGCAGCTCTTACCTAGAAACTAGAGCCTGAAGGAGTTTAAATTCAATCCACTGCAGGTGGAGACCACAGCAGAGACACAAAAGGCGTTTTGAATCTCAGCCTCACACCAACCTGACAGCTGAGCCTGCTGGAAGCATCCATCCCACGCCAGCGTGCCTTGGGAACGAGTTCACTTTCCTCCTTGGACCTCTGAGCACTGTGGCACTGCCACACAGCCTGGTGTCCCCAGCACAGTGAGGGCTCTGTCACCTGCCATTAACACACCTCGGTGTCCCCAGCATCATGAGGGCTCTGTCACCTCAGTGTCCCCAGCACCATGAGGGCTCTGTCACCTGCCATTACACACCTCGGTGTCCCCAGCAGCATGAGGGCTCTGTCACCTGCCATTAACACACCTCGGTGTCCCCAGCACAGTGAGGGCTCTGTCACCTGCCATTAACACACCTCGGTGTCCCCAGCACCATGAGGGCTCTGTCACCAGCTCCCACGGGCCAGAGGGATCAGCTGGAGCCTGGGCAACACTGCAGCCTGGGGTGTGTTAAAATAAAACTCACAACCCGTCACATGCTGAGTGCCTCAGGCACCTGTTAAAAGTACTTTTCTACCCTAAGCCACGCTGCAGTCACACATGGCCAAGCCACTGCCCCACTAATTGTGTACAATTCATCAGGGCACTCCAACGCCCTGACCCACCCGTGCTGAGCACCCCCAGCATCACCACACAAAACAATGATGGTCCTCTTCACGGTCAGTCCATAAATTTCCTTGGAAGCCCGTGGGAAGGATCAGCTACACTGAACACTACACCAAACACACTGCTGTCATTTCAGACCGTTTCTGCTGAAATGCTGACACTCCTCATCACGCCAGCACAGCTACAAAGGGCTTGCAGTCTCCTTCACGTTAAATAATAACTGGATGTATGCTAATTGCCTTTCCTCCAGTGAACTGTCTGCATTCCCTCCCGATTTCCTGTAGCTACAAATATGATAATCAGGAGAACAAAGACTTTAGCACAGCCACTCGGGCACAGCAAATGCAGCGGAGTGTGTACGCCTGACTCCAGCAGCAGCAGCAGCAGGCAGACCTGCAGCCTCGCTGCTCTGAGCACCCCGAGCCCACCTCCAGGAGCTGTCAACAAAGATTGGTGTAAAATCGCACATGGGAGCGAAGTTTTTCACTGGAACTTCCAGGACAATGCAGCCCCTTAGCAACGCGGCCGCTCTCAAACCAACCGATCCACCTTTAATTCCCACTTCCTCCCAAACTCTCCGGACAGCAACTTCTGGCACTCCATCAGTCCCCTTTTATCCCAGTTTCTTTTTATAAATCCAAGGTCAGGTTTCCTCTGCCATCTCATGTGATGCGCCGGACTGAAGTTCTGCCAGCGTGGTCGGTCCCCACGCTGCCAAACCCCCTCCCGAGGTCCCCTCCGCCCGTCCTGCCGCCCACCGGGCATCTCCAGCGGGCACAGCAACCAGGCGGGCACCACCAACTCTGCCAGCGACGCTGAATGACGCCTATTAAAAATAAAACCCCGTTGCACCGAGTCCCCCCCACGCCGGGGCGGCTCGGGGGTCCCGGGCCCGGCCTCGCCCCTCACTCACCTCCTCCTCGCTCTCGCTGCGGAAGCACAGGCAGGCCGCCCGCTTCTTGTAGCCGTCCCCGTCGTAGGTGCGCGTCTGGTTGGACTTGAGCTTCATCATCCTCCGCTCCGGGGGCGGCGGGGCCGGAGGACGCGCGGCCCGGAGGGCGGGGGCGGGCGGGACCCACCGGGCGGCGAAGGACGAGGGGGGCCGCGGGGGGAACCGCCTGCCCGCGACAGTCTCTCTCTGGGTCTCGCTTCGTGGGTCTCGCTACGCGCTGCCGCCCCTCGCCCGCCTCACCCCGGCCCTCGCTGCCGGCCGCGCCGCCGCCACCGCCCGCGCTCCGGCCACCGCCGACGACGACCGCGCCGCCATCTTGGGGCTCGCTACGCAAACGGCGTAGCGCCGCCGGGCGGGGAGGCGGCGCTGGCCCTGCGGCCTCACAGCGCCAAGTGCGCAGCGCGGCTTCCAGAATCGCTCCCCCCGCGCTGGCGGCGCCGCCACGCCCCCGCCCCGGCTCGCGCGCTCTACGCCATGGGCGCGGGCCGCGTTCGGGAATAGGGCGGGCGGCGTAGAGCGGCGTAGAGCGGCGGTGGCGGGCGCTCGGCCTTACGCCAACGGCGTAAGGGGCCGGGCCGGCCGCGCGCACGTGGCGCCGCTGTGACAGCGGCTCCGCGGGGACGGCAGCGCCCGCCCGGCGCCGCGAGGGGGCGCTGCGGCAGCGGCGGGGCCGGTCCCGGTGACACCGCGGGGCCGTGTCCATCCCCCGGGACACCGCGGGGCCGTGTCCATCCCCCGGTGACACCGCGGGGCCGTGTCCAACCCCCGTGACACCGAGGGGCTGTGTCCATCCCTCGGTGACACCGCGGGGCCGTGTCCATCCCTCGGTGACACCGCGGGGCCGTGTCCAACCCCCGTGACACCGCGGGGCAGTGTCCATCCCCGGTGACACCGCGGGGCCGTGTCCATCCCCCGTGACACCGCGGGGCCGTGTCCGTCCCCGGTGACACCGAGGGGCTGTGTCCATCCCTCGGTGACACCGCGGGGCCGTGTCCAACCCCCGGTGATACCGCGGGGCTGTGTCCATTCCCGGTGACACCGCGGGGCCGTGTCCGTCCTCGGGGACACCGCGGGGCCGTGTCCGTCCCTCGGTGACACCGCGGGGCCGTGTCCATCCCCCGTGACACCGCGGGGCAGTGTCCATCCCCGGTGACACCGCGGGGCCGTGTCCAACCCCGGTGACACCACGGGGCTGTGTCTGTCCCCGGTGACACCGCGGGGCCGTGTCCATCCCTCGGTGACATTCTCTGTGTGTGTGTTCATCCCCCCGCCCCGACACTGCACGTCACTGTCCATTCCCCCTCCGGTGACACCCGGCTGGGTGTCCATTGCCCTGGGTGACACGCCAGCTCAGTGTCCGTGTGTCCGCTCCCTCCGCGGGTGACACCGCGGGCCCGTTACCGATCACTGTCACCGGCTGCCCAGCGACACTTGGCGGCGGGCGGCGGGCACTGCGCCACTCGCCCCGCCTCGGTGCTGCCGCCATCCCCGCCCCCGGTCCCCACAGGGGACAGCGCAGGTGACAGCGCAGGGTGAGGGACACGGGCTGGCACAGCCGAATTTTCCATCTGCAGAACAGCCCAGCCCAGCCCAGCCCTGCTGCATCGCCCCGAGCAGACGGGAAATGCTCCTGCGTTCCTCCAGGACTCACTTCCACACCCCCAAACTCAGAGTTCCTTCAGCAGAACCTGCATTTAGTCACTCCCAAAGTGCTGTCCCAGATGCCAAAGCTCTGAGTCACACTGTGAGCTGTTTGTGGGCTTCAGACAGACACAGGCATGAACCCAGTGGCATTTTCACCTCTTTTATTATACACAAAACATGAGCACGAAGTTCTACTGCGGGGGCTGACCACGTCCACGGCCGAATCCGCCTCTCTGCAACAGCAAAAGGAGAGTGTTAGAAATCATTGTGTCAAGCAATGACAAACATCATCACAGCTCTGATGGCACAGGTCAGCCAGGTGAGTGCCACCAACATCAACACATTCCAGCCAGCTCTGTGGATCACACCTGAAATACTTTCATTTTTGAAGTATAAAACCATGGATCTCCAGAGAGCTCAGCCTGCTCTCAAACTTGTCACTGGCCTCTGTCCCACCACATCCTTTCCCCACAGTGAGCAAGCTGCATGGGAAGGGTGACATTTTCCAGCCCCTCTGACACCCTCAGAATCCCACAGGTAGGACCTTCCAGCTTCTCCCACCAAAACCTTCAAAAAAGGAAGCAAAGTTTAAATGCAAACACTCACAAACTGGAATTCTGTGGCTGCTCCAGCACCGGCCTCAGCCTTCTTGTCAGCACCAGCTGCAGAAAGAGAAGCAGTCAGTGCCCACAGAACCCCCTGCCTGGGAGCAAAGTTTTAACCATCCCACACAACTAAAACTGGGGCTAAACACAGCAAAGCAACAGCTGTAAATGAGCAACCCCAGGGAAAACCCCACAGCTCAGCTGGACAAAACTCCAGCACACCTCCCATCCACGCTCACATACAGACCCTAAGCTAAGCCAAGAGTCTCATCGTCCCCTTTTCTCCTTGAGAGGAGCCCCAGAGCTGGACAGTTGTCCCCAGAGGGCAGGGGGCACAGGGGGCACACTCACGTGGCACGGCGCTGCGGCGGTACGTGTCCCGGTCAGCCTCGCCCCGCGTCAGCCGCGCCGGGCGCTCGCCCTCCAGACCTGCAACACAGAGCAGAGCCTCAAACGCTGCTCAGCCAGGGCACAAACACAAAGCTCCTGCACCCCAAGGTGCAGAACAGCACTGGGTCTGCCAGCAGTGCTGCACCGGGTCTGCCAGCAGTGCTGCACCTGGGGCAGCTCGGGGAGAATAAACCTAAGGAAAACAGTGATTCAGTAAGGGAAGCTTCACTTTAAGGGTAAAATCTGCCCAGCTTGCGGCAGGGTGGAAGTTAAATAATGTGAGAAGTGGGTTTACAGCATCATTCCAACAGTCTTCTGGTCATCACACTAGTGCTTTGTTGATGAAAATCCCAGAAATACTGGGAGTCTGCCACGGCAGACAGGTTGGTGCACAGCTGATCCCAAACTGCAGGACAGAATCTGACCCCAGCCTGAACCAGCCACACTGTCAGTACCCCAAATCCCCCACAGAGCACGTTCATGTCAGTAAAAGCAGATTATCTGTAGAATGTCAGATTAATAGCAGACAAAACTGCTGCAGGAACATCCAGCCGTGGTGGAACAGCACCTCTCAGGGACTGGGCTGTGTGCCTGGAGCCCAGTCTGGGCAGAGCCCACCCAGGCAGGAGCCACTGAGGGGCAGCTGTGCCTGGCACACCCCAGCATCCTCCTGAACATCCACATACATTGGTTTGGCCATAAAAAACCCAGTTTTTGTAATAATTATTTTACTACACCACCTCTGCGGCTCTCAGACTGCTGCTGCCTCAAGCAGGGCATCCACAGTAAAACAAGAGCACCAAGTGCAGAACTTCCAAATATCCCTACCCAGAGGGGGCTGAGAACCAGGACAATCCTGTGACACCACACACAGCTCCTCCTGCACAAACCCCAGCCAGAAGCTGCCACTCCTCCCTCCTTCCCAGCAGGGATGCAGCTCCTTTAAGCTCACTGGATAAACGCAGCATCTAAAGAACAAATCTTGGAACATCCAAGCAACTCAGAGATCAAAGAAAGCAGCGTATTCCCAGTTTCTCTGCAATTCCTTCCTTTGAAGCAGGTGATGCTCCCGTTTTGTTTGGCTCAGACACAAATTGCAGCAGCTGGGGGTGAACTCCCAGCACCCCTTGGCCCCCAGAGTGGCTCAGAAGCACAAAAGCACAACCCATGTGATCCCCCAGGGCAGAGTCTGGCTGCACCCCCTGCACCTGGGGTGTGAAAAGCCACCAAGGGAAAATCAGAGCTGGGTCACTCAGAGCAGTGACACAAGAACGTGTCAGGTGGGTCTGGAATGTGCCCAGAGAGGGAGACCCCCACACCAGTGGGAAGCTGAGGTGCAACTTGCTGTATTTTAGTTTCTGGCCACTGCTCTTGTCCTGTCACTGGGCACCACTGAAAGCAGTCTGGCAGCATCCTCTGGCAGCATCCTCTGGGCATATCTGTGGGGATTTGTCTCCTCTCCTCCAGACTAACCAGGCCCAGCTCAGTCTCCCCTCACAGAGGTGCTCCAAACCCCTCAGCATTTTTGTGGGCTCTGCTGCTTCTCCACCACGAGTTTGCTGTTCACCTTTAACAAGGAGCCTGTTGTATTCCTGTGGGAAATGGCTTTTTCCCCACCAGAGACCCCTGTAGCTGTAACCATGTTAGTTTAACCCTTCCATCCTTTCTTGACCTAATTGGCTGACAGCCAATTATATTTTCATGAGCAGGAGTCTAGACAAGGCTCTGCTCTGCCTTGTTCTCCCTTTTTCTCCCCTGGAAACCTTTGAGAATAAAAGTCCAGGACTACATTGGGGGTTAGAGCTTCTTTTGGAATCTTTTACCTTGCCCCTGAAATATTCCCCCAAAGCCTTCTCAGATCTGGGCTGGTCTAGCAGCTCCAGGGGGCTGTGGGGGTAAATATTTCAGGAGCACCTTCAGTGTCCCTGGGGAAGGCACAGTGGGACACCCACCACAGGCCACAGGAGATCCCCAGGTGGGCTCCAACATCTCCTGCACATCCCCAGCAATCCCAGTCCCTGGGGAAGGCCAATCCCTGGGGTGGGACACAAACCCCAACCACATTTCCTTGCTCTGCTCACAACTTTACACCCAATCCCCACAGATCTGGCAGTGTCCTGGCTGCCCAGTCCCCTGTGCCCACCCCTGGCTGCCCAGCTGAAACAGAGTAAATATTTAACAGAGTAGAAATCCATTTAGATTTAAGTGCAATGTACCACTTTGAGCTTGCTAATGTAAGTAAAATATGCTGTTTAGTCTAGTAACAGCAACACTAATAAAACTACCCCAGCTAAAGAAAAAAAAAGACAAATTTCCACACTAAAAAGATAAAAAATAAGAAAGACTCCTCAGACCTTCAAGCAAAGTGACTCAAGAGTTCTTTCTATACTTGCTAACAAAAACTAAATACGAGTGTAACTAGCTAGAAATGTAACATGAAATCAACAAAACAAGTATGCATAACCTATTTATATATAAAACTATGAATATGCATAAACCTATTGTAAAATCATATGCATATAGAAATGAGTAAGAGCAATAAAAACAACGAGAAGTTATCAAAAGCAAGCAATAAACGTCCATTAAAGAACAGTAAATCCCCACGTGCATCCAGGACTATAAATAAACATTACAATGATGGAGTTTGAATTTTCCCCCACGTT